TTTCTAGCTCTTGCTGTAACAGCCTACTTCTGACTCACAGAAAGTTGGCTTATCCCTTTCATTTTAATGCAAATTCTTTATTAGGACTACATAATGCTTGTTAAATTTAGCCAAACCCAACAGACCAGCAGTGTCTTGGAGGTAAAATGCATATTTAAAGTTTGAGACAGCACCAAGCAGATACCTCAGGATATGTGCAAAACGAACTGGCTCGATAACCAAAGATAAGAAGTGAAATTGTACTACGTGACCCAGGCACATGGATCGATCCTCCCGGGTGAGCACGATAACAACGACAGCACACAGGGAAAGGCACACAGCTGAAGTAAAAGACATACTTACTCAACATGATTTCCTGTGTCCTTACATAAACTTGCTGTTTAAACCTACAATCTCGCCCACTCTGCGAGCACCTCTAGCCTGTAACCAATGGCAACATCTACTTCAATGCTGCACTGCCACAGGTCAATATATACAAAAGGGATGCTGGGAGGATTATACACCTGTAGTAACAGTGTGTGTGTGAAAACCCATCGACACCCAGTGGATTCACAGTAAGTGGACACTGGGAGTGTTAATAAGACGGCAGAATCACTGAATAGCATGCACATCTCCTCAGTTAACAGGGACACACGGCAATCCTCCGGGAAACCGTGAGCGTCGTTCTGCCCACGTTCCCTCTCATTATGTAAAACACACTATATCATCACTACTCATGCAGCTTCTGCTCACGCACACAGAGACACTCACGCACACCCATGCGAGTACCTCGCTGTAACGCTCTCCTCCAGAACTGAGTCCTAATATCTGTGGAGCAGGACATGGTCAGTGTATATAGGGAAGAGATAAGGGGTTTTGTCTCGAGGCGAAATGATTAGTCAGTTAATCAATTCAACCAGAAAATTAATCAGCAACTATTTTGATTATTCGCTAATAATTTAAGTGATTTTTTTAAGCAAAGCTGGCAAACATTTTCTGTTTCAGCTTCTTAAATCTGAGAATTTGCTGGTTTTATTTGATCATGAATGATAGTTAGCAATTTCTTTGTGTTTCGGGCTGATGGTCAGATAAAACAAGCGAAGACAGCTTTGGTCTGTAGAAAACTGTAATGGGCCATGTTTTATCATTCTTTCTGGCATTAATTGGTAATGAAATAACCATTAACTGCGGTCTTAATTTCATCACATTGCAATTTTTTCTCAAAAGTCAGTGTACAACTAGATAACAACACACACACTGAGCGACAGATTCAGGGTAGGAATTACCCAACCCAATTACTTAACAATGACTTAAGCTTGTCGGTGACCGGCCTTACAACAATAGGCAAACCATCTGTTCTTCTCTGTATACTAAACAACTCCCTGCCAGACTTGCCCCGCAGCCTGCACAAGGCAATAATATGGGACACACACACTCTCCTAACATCATTTTCTGCCTATGAAGACTCCATAAATATACTGGTTCTTGCCCCGATTAGGAAACAAGGCCAATAAGGGCTGATACGGATACCACATTATGTTACCGTCACTCAAATGTGAGTGTTTGACAGAATGCTGTATCTTGTATTTGTACAGTCTCGGGCTCTCGGCCATGTGGGAGCCACAAGAGTGCTCTGAAGCCACTATTTTTATTCACTGATTCAGCCTGGGTGGCTACCAAGGGAAGAGCAACTCCTGGATACACAGGCAGGCTAATAAGTGACGCACAGCTAAATGGATTAGAAAGATTCCCATCATCTGCCCTGTCCTCTGAAAATAAGAAACCCCATCTGTATCTGCCCTGAACAACCTCTCAGCAGCTGAACAGCACAATGAACGAGTCTGTTCATTAACAAGAGGAGCATGGCAACACTGTGCCATTGGCTCAAAGGATATAGGAAATCAGTAAGAGCAATATTTGCTTTGATAATATATCACACTCAACTGAGAGTTACTGATAGAGGGGGTTAGTGTTGAAGGCACCAAATGGAAAGTGAATTTGCTTGCCAACTTTACCACAAACCTAAAAAAAGGACAGCCATACAGACAGAGAGGAAGAGGAGGGGTGTAACGGGGAAGGGGAGGCTGTGGGATAACACAGCAGTTCCCCATAGATGGACACTCAATTCAAAGATCACCCACTAAGTACGTCCCATTCATTTACTGAACAACAGAACGATATTTATTCAACCTCACATACGTCCTCCTGCGTCCAGTTAACTCATGAGCATTAAACACGGTGCCAACGTTGACAAAATCACCGGCTTGATAACAAAACACTCCACTTGAGCCAACGTGGTCCTGGGCTTTCTTTCTTTATTCACATGCTATTCCTCCCAATAGATATATCGGTATAAATACCGGTGGCTCGCTAACTTGAGCTTCGTTTGCTGAACAAAAACACCAACTAGGTTAAGGTTTTATCAAGCAGGCAGCTAAATAAACTAGCCACTGCTTGGTTCATTTGTTAGGCTGAAAGCCTCGATGCTAACTAGCTAACTGGCTAACCGGGGCTGGACCGAGCCACCGACACCGAATCACACCGTTTCCGTCGCTACAAAATGTTACACGGTTCTGTCTGTGTGCTCGTTTTAGGAAAAGAAAGGAGGAACATTTCACATCCACATACCTGTCGGGGCTGTCGATCCCGAGTCTGCTGTCCCAGCAGTCGCCATTATGGTTTGACTGTTCACATCACAGACAGCGCCGACAGTTGAATGCTGATGATCGTGTCGCCACAGCGCCACAGCGCCCCCGGTGGACAGAGAGGGAACAGTTTCAGTTTCAGTTTACTGTAATAATCTTAATGTGATTCTCAAATAAAGATAAAAATCTGTTTTTTTTAAAAATAGTTTTAAATAGATTATTTACAATTTATAGCAGGTGGAAGGGTTAGGGTTAGGGTTAGGGTAAACACCTCAATTTATTTTATCAGTGGCTACGGAGATTGTATTAATGAACAGGAAAAAGGATTGTTGTCTGTTATGTTTTGGTGTTTTAGTTGTAAGATAAGACAGACAGAACAGAAATAGAAACTACATCAATTACACTGTATATAACTATAAAATATAATATAAGAGTAATATAAGTATGTTTTTTCTTCTCTATCCACTTTGCTGCTGTATTTTGGAATTTCCCCATTGTGGGACTATTAAATGAATATATTATCTTATCTCTTAACATATTATGGCCTAATACAGTATAGGTACAGTATAATATACCATGGGATGTAAAATAACAATAATAATAATAATAATGATATTATAAGGTGAAATGTAGTAATATTGTAACATATAGTACAGCAATATAGCATAGAATATAAAATACAATTAAGTATAGTATGAGTGAGCTTAAGTGTTTTTGTATGCTTCAGTTTTATGTATAAAATCTGTTTTGTGTTACATGCTGTATAGGTGATTTATTTTTTATATATTATAATAATTATTTTATGTGAATTTATATTTTTTATAAAATCTCATCAAGTGTAATTATTAGTTTTAAAACGGCGTGTTACATAATATTTAAGTCAAATTTCCACAAAGCGTTCTGTCAACCTTAAATTAATATCTTCAAAAATCCAACTAAAACATTCCCTTTCATTACATATTTTATTAACTTTTTTGTGATACATTCATTACTTTGCCAAAACGTTTGCCAAAAAAATCTGCTTCAGTTTTTATAAAATGTCTACTTATTGTACCAGGCACACTATGGTTAACCCAACCATAAAGGCCTGGCATGCAACAAGACAGTAAACCACACAAAAGGTATATTTAAAAATGTTTTTTATTAGAGATATGATCTTAACCACAAACCCATATAAAAAGAAGAGAACTGATCTTGCAGCTCTGAAGGAATCAAAAAATGCATTCATAATCAAATATGTAAAGAGCAGCCTATTACAAATAGTGGTACAGTGACACAGACAACAGTCTGTTTACAAACAAAGCATTTAAGAATATTTTTGTTTCTTTATAAATTTATTTTATTGACAACAACGCTTCTTGATCTCAGGTGAAAATATGCAAATAACACAGGCAGAAGATGAAACTAGAATTTGCCCCACATTTTGAATATTGTAAGTGGGAATAATTGCTTTTGTTCAGTGATTGGAGGTCACTTCTGCTTGCTAGCTTGCTGTGTCCCTGAACGGCCCAGGGCCCATAGGGTCAGCAACAAAAGGTCAAAAAGGTTTTAGGAGAGAGGGCACCTTTTCTTCTTCTTTTGGCGTAAGGCATTGGTTGCTTTGGTGACGGCATCCATGAGAATTTTGGAGATACACTTTGGAGCCTCTTGTGCACTGCAGCAGCGGCGCACAGCTGGAGAAGAAGCCTTCTTTGATAAACACAGGTTCTCCGACATTTCATTAAGCTGATTTCATGGAGAGAAAAGAAAAGGCCAGACACATGAAATAATAACATTAGAGCTGAACTGTGGGATAATAACTCCTAAACTTTCATTTTCAATATTACATTAAATATTTTTCCAGCCCAAACTTTGTCTGACTCACTTCCTTCTTTAACTCACCGTTTGCACAAAACAGTTGGTCTTCTCTTGTTCAGGCAGGGGGCAGCATTGGGTCACAAAGTTCTTGATCGGAAAACCAACAGGGAACCTAAAACACAGTGACATTATTACTACAATAAGGGATATTTCAGCATATAAGGCTGCTTGAGATTAATTTATTGTGTATGACAGGAGAGGAGATAAAAAGAAACAGAAAGAAAACAGAAATTGTAACAAGGCCAAACAAAAAAGAAACAAAAAAGATGAAGGACAATGAAGAAGACAGACAGAAAAACAGATCCAAGGACAGATGTATTGTCTTACTTTTTCTTGATGATCTTGTCAGTGTCACAGATATTGTTAAGCGAGAGCTCTTTAGTGGCAGAAGTCATATTATAATATGGGTCTGGAGAAATGCTTTGGAAACAGTCGAATCGATCATTTGCCTTATTCCCTGCGGAACAACAGTGGAAATCCACCTTTTCACCATTCTTACCCAAACAAAACTTATTAAGCTCCTGACGCCACTGAAATACAAAAGGAGAAAGGAATGAGAAGGTACCAAAAATGATCAGATTATTTACTTTATGCTTGTAGGTTCCTTGCTTTACCTTCTGATCGACACAGTTGAGCACATCCTGCTTCTTCTTGCAGCACTGTTTGAATCCCTTCTCTATACGGTTAATGGTCTTTGCCTGACGAGCCAACAGTTCGTAGCCTGAACCTGGCAGGCACTTGACAGTATAGAGGGTGCGTAGCTTCTGGTTGTTGCACAGTGATTCAATGCCATCTGCTGTTGGCCGTCCGGGAGGAAAGTTGATGTCAATTATCTGGGAAGTAGATAGTTTCTTAATCTTTCTTTGACTCCTTCCTCTGACTTCGTGTGGAGTCATCACCGTACTGTAAAGTATGAGTCAGAAAAGTCCCTCAACAACACTTTTCTACAATTTCTTATATCACTTTCTTTGCTTTGTGTTACTCCATATTTGCCTCATTTTCATCACATCCAACGAATAGACCAAAACCAATGTGTTAGGCCAAAATGGGACTCATGCAGTGGGACTTTTCATTGCTCCAGCAAAAAAAAAGCAGGATCGTATTTCGGGAGCTTTGCTCAACCTTTGCCAGCCTACAATGCACCATGATTGCCACTATAATACCTTCCCAGAGCTGTAAAATCCTTGTTCCTAATATAAACTACTGTGGTGTGTTTTGGTGTCTGATACAGTATCTCACAAAAGTGAGTACACCCCTCATATTTCTGCAAACATTTCATTATATCTTTTCATGGGACAACACTGAAGAAATGACACTTTAATAAGTAGTCAGTCATAAAGTAGTCAGTGTACAGCTTGTATAACAGTGTAAATGTACTGTCCCCTCAAAATAACTCAACA